AGAGACATGAAGAAGAGGGGACACATGTTGATGTAGAAGAGACATGAAGAAGAAGGGACACATGTTGATGTAGAAGAGACATGAAGAAGAGGGGACACACGTTGATGTTGATGTAGAAGAGACATGAAGAAGAGGGGACACATGTTGATGTAGAAGAGACATGAAGAAGAGGGGACACATGTTGATGTAGAAGAGACATGAAGAAGAGGGGACACATGTTGATGTAGAAGAGACATGAAGAAGAGGGGACACATGTTGATGTAGAAGAGACATGAAGAAGAGGGGACACATGTTGATGTAGAAGAGACATGAAGAAGAGGGGACACATGTTGATGTAGAAGAGACATGAAGAAGAGGGGACACATGTTGATGTAGAAGAGACATGAAGAAGAGGGGACACATGTTGATGTAGAAGAGACATGAAGAAGAGGGGACACATGTTGATGTAGAAGAGACATGAAGAAGAGGGGACACATGTTGATGTAGAAGAGACATGAAGAAGAGGGGACACATGTTGATGTAGAAGAGACATGAAGAAGAGGGGACACATGTTGATGTAGAAGAGACATGAGGAAGTGGACTTTGCACAATAGGTGACCTTTAAGACAGGCCAAGCATCAGGTTGAGTCATGGAGGTCTCACCTTATCTCCTATCGAGGGCCAGATGGTTTTATGGAGGAACTGGATGCAGATAACGGGCAGCAGGCTGACGCCCACAGTCAGGATGATTGTTAACCACAGGTAGGGCTGCCGCAGAGCATTCGACGCCGCACCTACAAACACAAAATATACACATACACAGTTAGCTACTACTCTGCTAACATCCACTTCTTATGCTTTTGTTAAATGTACTCTTTTGTTATTAGTAACTACTGCAGCTGCTGAAGATTCTTCAGAGTGTTTTGGAGTAGAGACCATACTAAATATGTCACAGTAAGTGATTTTGTTTGTGACTGACCAGTGAAGGTGAACGGTGCGGGGAAGATGACGTGGATCCCAGCACTGTGGATGTCGAACATGATGCCGAAGTAAATAGCTATACTGCCCAAAACGGCAAAGCAGTTAACAAAGGTCCAATAGGAAGTCTCCAAGGAGATCTGACACACGAGAGGGGAAGCAGAGGACAAAGGTCATTCATTTCAAATATACTCATTACATCTGCTTTACAGCATTTCTTCACAGAGTCATTAAGATAAGTTCGTGTTAAGTTTTGTTTTTAACCGTCAGCGCATAAAACTGAACACGACTAACCTGCAGGTTGACGACAAAAATGAGCGAGGAGGCGGTGACTACGGCGAAGGACTGGTAGTCGGAGGGGGCTTCTCCGTCCTGCCCCATGGTCTGAAGGAAGGCTCCGTAGGGGATGAAGAAGATGATGAGCGAGACAAAGATACCGTGGAACAAGCTGATGAAGAAGTTCTTGTAGTTGAACAACGTTCCCAGCTGTCCGGGTAAATAGAGTTGTGGGAATTTCAGGCTTATTTTGTCGTTAACGTCCTGCAGCGAGAAGAGCGAGAAGCAGATTTAGTTTGGCAAAAACCAAACACGTCTACGTGCATTTCAGCGAGTATTACATCTTTAAAATCATCTTGTGTCAATGACTTTTAACAACAAGAGAAGCCTGTTTTACCTGGTCAAGAAGTCCAACTAGTAGAACAGGTAAGCTGCTGTAACAGAGATTGTAGAGAGTGATGAACCAGTCTTCATAGGTGACCTGCAGAAAGGGAAACAAGGATCAGAATAACAACAACTGATATTGGATTTAAAGCTTGCAGCAGATATACAAAAAGAGATTTTATAAAATATAATCTGACAGAGTGACCATTTCAAAGAAAACAATATTGTATAATCTGGACAAAGCAAACATGTTATGTAAAAAAAAGTCTACAAAGTGTTAAATGGAGTCAGTGATCACAATTACACATAACCTCTGCCATTTTCAGCCATGTGTGTCTTGGCAGGATTATGGTATAACTTATTGCCTGAGCAAAACATTTCTTCTGCCGATGGAGAACACGAGATGCAGTTGCAAGTTTCAGAAAAAGTAAATAAGCGGATTTTGAGGAACTATTTTTAAGATGTCATGAAATCTGCAGTTCCTATGCAAAGATGAATTCTAATGATGACCCAAGGGGCCAACATGTTAAGTTATACACAATAAATATTATCTAAAGGCCAGGAGTTGAGTGCACCAGCTGGGCGTAAGCTGGTCGTAACTCTACGTCCGACGTAGAACCGAAGGTTAAGACCAAATTTAAGTTATGACTAGTGCACCACTAAGACTTAAGCCCTGTATGCGTTGCGCCCGGGTGTAACTTGTACGCCTAGTAAGGAGCAGGCGTGAATCGGAAAGAAAGACTAGTATCCATAGTAACGTAAAACAGGCAAGAACGATGGCAGTGCGGTTGAACAACGAAAGGGCATTAAGACGAGAAAGAGTCGTCCTTAATCGAACAAACCCACTGGCCGTCTATTCGGACAGTGAGCTGATAGAGGTTTCGTTTCGGCAGACAAGCCCTTTATGAATGAATCGAGGATCAGACAGAAACGCTGCGCTCTCCCCAACCTTGCAGGTGCTGATTGCGCTCAGATTTTACGCCAACGGGTTGCTTTGAATGGAGAAGTTTGAGTTTTAAATTATGTAGACGTCTGTTTTGCATGTATTCACGTGGACGCGCATTTTAAGACTAGGCGCAGCTACGGCCGAGACTAGTAAGGTTGGTGCACTCTGTGTGAATTCAAATCACTAAGTCGGACGTAGCTGAGCGCGACGTTAGAGTTAAGACCTACTTTTTTACGCCCAGCTGGTGCACTCCACTCCAGGTTACCATTAAATGTGCTGACCAAAGTTAATTAGAATTGTGTCAAAGTAAGTCCAGTTATTCCCACCAGGATAATGTTTCAAAATGAACATATGCTATTAAATTGCGGCGTCAAATGCACTTGATAATGAAAATAACTGTGTGCTGCTGACCATTGCAGAGTATCCGTTGAAGAAGGAGTACCAGAAGTGAACCAGTGTGAAGGCGAAGTTCTTGAAGAAGAAGTAACGCAGGAACTTGCACATTCGGATGTAGGACCAGCGCCCGTGCACCAGCAGGAGGCGCTCCAGGTAACGGAACTGAGCGAAGGCGTAGTCGCTGGACATGACAGCCTGCATCCCCTCCTGACCGCTGATACCCACACCGATGTCTGCAGCTGGAGGGACAGAGGGGAAGGGGACATG